AAAGTAAAAATTAAAAATTTAGTAATTATTATAAAATTCATAAGATCTAACAATGATAATGTTTCTTCTGTCAATGAAGTGATAATGTTTCTTCTGTCAATGAAGTGATAATGTTTCTTCTGTCAATGAAGTGATAATGTTTCTTCTGTCAATGAAGTGATAATGTTTCTTCTGTCAATGAAGTGATAATGTTTCTTCTGTCAATGAAGTGATAATGTTTCTTCTGTCAATGAAGTGATAATGTTTCTTCTGTCAATGATGTGATAATGTTTTCTTCAATGTCAAATGTTTCTTCTGTCAATGAAGTGATATTTCTTCTGTCAATGTTTCTTTCTTCTGTCAATGATGTGATAATGTTTCTTCTGTCAATGTTTAATGTTTCTTCTGTCAACAGCAACATCATTCTTCTGTTTGTTAATGTTTCTTCTGTCAATGATGTGATAGTGCTTGTTTTACCATCATAGCATTTGCTTGCAATGGATACTTTTTGGATACTTTTTGCACCAGATTATGTTTGTCATTATATGTGGCTTCTACATAAGCAAAACACGTGCACTCACAACTGGAACATTTTCATGTTAGATTTTTTTAAGCAAATTGTGACAAGCAGGGAAAAAAAATGGTTACTGTGTATGTAGATTAGAAAGAGCATGGAGAAAGCAAAATAAATTCCTTTCCAACCATATCAAAGGACAGCCTTCCTCCAACTATATCAAAGGACAGCCTTCCTCCAAATATCGTTAATTCACCGAAGTTAAGAAATGTTAAGCATGGTCAGAACCTAGATGGGTGATCACTTGGAAATACCAGGTGCTGTAAACTTGGATGTGTGGTAGTATAATTGATAATGGCTCAGAATTGTTAATCAGAGAACCCAGTTTCAATTCCTATTGGGTTCATTATATTCACTTACATGCAAATACCCTTGGGAAATGTATGAATTGACTGATAGTTCCCTCTAGCTATGGGTTAATTAGTAAGACTTGTATCACTAAATCATTATTATCTTAAAAAAATATATCTTACAATATAACATTTTGTGGCTTTAAATAACATAAAATAGGTTGAGAAGCCATAGAAAAAGAATCAATCAAAAATAAAACCAAAGATGATGATGCTGTGATGGAAAGGAATTATTTTCCAGAAAACTAAATGATTTAAACAAATACTATTCCCAACTAAAAGACAGCAACTAAAGAAAAGCATCCAGAATTAAGTAAGAGAAAAATTGTAATATTTTATCATATTAACATCAGGCTGCATATTTCTTTTGTAACCAGGTAAAAATTATGACAACTTGACAAAAATTTTCACACATCTGTTGTAATAATCACTTATATTTTCAGATTACCATTTCAATCTTCACAAAATCGTCTTAATGAAAAAATAAAATCAAAGACTACAAAAAGCACTTAGCAGTGGTCTTTCCTGAAGTGTACAAACTCCATAGGAAATAGAATTACAAAGTTGGCTGAAAAGTGTTAGAATAAAGCAAAAGCAAAACAGTAAATATTTTGTTCAATAAATTTGACATTGGAAAAAAACTATTTCAATTTTTTTTTTTTTTACTAAATACACAAAATTTGCTCAGTTACCAAATACATTTTTGGTGCTTAAACTTTACCAGTATCTGATATGCAAATTCAATAAGAAGATTTTCTCAATGTAGGACCACCCCCCCATGATAACTATTGTCCCAGTTATCATTGGAGAATTGGGGGGTTCTATACTACTGACCTACATTGAGAAAATTTGAATAAAGCTTAGTAGTCTATCACATCAGAAGTCTGCATTGCCTGGCACAGCAAATATTCTGTGAAAGGTGCTGTTTGAAATGAATGGATGTATGAAGAGAATCTATAATGCAAAATCCAAGGTTGAAAATGAAAATTATTATTATAGGAGACCTAAAGTGAAAATTCCTTTGAATGCCTATAATGTATTCAATGCTTAACACCATTTGGATCCAGGCATTTTTGGGGGGAGGGAGTTATAATTTAAAGAGAATTATCAACTGGGAACAACTCCCTGGAAGTAGATAAAAAAAAAACTTGTTAAACAGGAAGGAGATGATATAACACAAGAGCATAAAGTTGTTTTAGCCGAGGAAGTAATTAAAAACAAACATTGAATCTCTTGTCAACATTGAATATTATTGTTTCATCTATGACCGTTTCCTTCTTAGCAACAAGTTTGGTGTATCAAATGGTAAAGATTAAGGCATATATCAGCCGTTAAGGACAAGAAGGTTAAACTGGCAGCAGACCCTCCTTTGCACAAAAAAAATATGAATAAAGTAAAATAATAATTGGAGAGACAGAAAATTTCCCCCAAGATGAAATGAAGAAAGTAGATCATACAGGACAAGAGCAATAAAAATTATATAGACTGGAAAAAAAAAAAAAAAAAAAAAAAAGATACAAATAGACATGAAAATTAACAAGGAAATAATCAGGGTTTTTAATTTATTAAAAAGTAATCAAGTTTTTTCTTATATTATTTCCAAGGGAATGAATTTTTGTTTACATTTCCGATACAAAACCGAACAGATATTGGCTTTTGAGAAAAATAATCTGAGTGAAGAGAATTTGCTTTCTTTAAACAGGGTAAAAAGAACCTTGCTAACTGTGAAGTCCTTCGAGGCCAACCAGTAAAGCATACTGGATAAAATGGTAGTTTTCCTTACAAAGGGTGGAGGGTGTAGGTTCAACCCCTACTGGAGGACACATTTTCTTTACTAACTACTCAAAAGCACAGAGCAATAGACATAATACATACAGTTTAATAACTAAAAATGGGGTGTCTATTTCATATAAGAAGTATCCACTATAGTTATATATATATATATATATATATATATATGAGAAAGATTCAGGATTATGCATAGTTAGAGTTATCAATACAATTGTGAGTAAACAGTGAATTTTTACATCTATTATTTGTAGTAATACTGTTGCAGCATTTTCTTCATTGAAAATTATATTCCATTAAAAACATACATTTATTTTCAAATTTAAAGATTTATCACTTTGCAAAATGTTAATTTCTCCTATGCCAGGTCAGGTTTGATATTACAGCATTAGCCAATGTCTAGAGAAGTTACATGCCACTTTTTGTTAAAAATATATATATATATATATATTAAATAAACATGTTATACTATTTAAAAATAAAGAATCTGCTCAATTAACTTTAGAAAACATTTTTTTCATGAAAATTGATTTCTTTTTTGAAAGTAAAACTAATTTACAAAATTTATTTCCACCTAAGACTGAGGATGGAATGAATGTGTTTAGACATAAAACGAGGACAAGTGGATATACTATACAGTAAAATAACCAAACTTAGGAAACAAACAAACAAACCATCCTTTAACTTGTATGATAAGACTATGTTGATAAAATTACAATACTGACATTAATTTGATATTTATTGATATTGGCAAGCATCAGCTGTGGCTCTAGACAGGAAAGCTATTAGTGACTAAATTCAAAGCAGCTGCTAATAGGAAAATCTTCTTTTTACTTTGATTCTATTTTATTTAAGTAATATCATTTGACTAAATGTTTTACTGATAAAAATGATAAAAAAAAGAAAGTTTTTACTTTCATTCATTAATCTTTTGAAATTCATATTGATACAAAAAAATGTTTTCCTCTCAATTGGTTAAATTTAGTGAAAAAGATTTAATGACTAAAATGAAAATTGATATGTAATTTTGCCTAATATTTTATCCGGTTCATTTTTGGTCATTTTCTACTACCAAATCCATATGCCAGGTATAGATAAAGAACAATGTATCAAGTAGGCAATCTGTAGGATAGTACAAGTAGCAGCAGATGCATGTCACAGAGTCGACAGAGCCATTATCAAATTTTCTTGCATTTAATCTATTTCCTGTCAAGCAAAAATTGTCTTTGCAAGAATAAATTGGACTAATAAAAAAAAAAAAAAAAAAAAAAAAAAAAGAGAAGAAGAAAGAAAATTTTTGTAAAACACCAAGAATTTTTGAAATATAAAAAAAAATTTCTTTTCCTTTCCTTTTACTTTGTGGAGGAGTGAAATATTATTTTACATGGACAAATTCACCTCTCCCCACCCTCAATCATCGACAAAACCAACCAAAGTAGTTAGTCTGCAAGACAAGCTTGCTAACCACCAACAATTCCACAGTGAAGTGGCCCTTTGGTCATCTATTAGAGATTGTTTGGACAGGTATTGCCTGCATCTGTATAACTAAGAAAGAAAGGAAAAAAAGGTGACAGTACCAATAAAGAAAGAGGGAGTGAAACTGATTATGCAGACAACCCAAATGAAAATAAATGAAGACTAGGAAAGTTAAGCAAATAGGAGCAAACTATGTGGACAGCCAAAAGCAAACATTAAAATAAGGATGTGGTGAAGGCCCGGATGGTGGTGGTGGTGTGTTTGACAGATATTTACTTTTACCAACAGAAAAGATAAAATATGGTCAGAGCAACAAATCTAAGGAGATTATAAAAATAAAATAAAAACTGTATGAAATAAATGTTTTTACCAATGAAGGACTGAATTTTTGCAAAACTAAAATTTTCTTTTTCAATTTAGCAAAACAGAATTAAGAAAACCACTAATGTAACAAAATGAAAAATATGACATAGATGAATATAAAAGCCAATCCCATAACTTTGTAATGCCAAAACCTATCAGACTATATTGTTTGCTTTGCTTCATCCATGTATAATGAAAGCTTACTGAAATTCACAAATATCTCATGGGATAGCTGCAGTATGGCTAACAAAAATTAAAAAAAAAAAAAAAAAAAAAAACTGATATTACCAACAATGGTAGAAGTATTTTCCCAACATTGAAACAAGAGGAAAACTAATTATAATATTATAAAAGGATTTATTAGTATTTGATTTAATAACTCCTAATGGTTTGTAACTAATTTTATAATATAATAATTCTTGAATAGTCTTGGATGTTTTATCTTGAATGACTAAAGAGGTATTATGGAGTCAAGAGGCAAAAAGAAAAAACAGGTTGTGTGTAGATTTGGAAAGAAAAAAAAAAGAAGCCTGAAGAAATAGAAAAAAAACAAAAAGAAAAAATGAGAAATAAACGAGTTGGTAATAAAAAAAAACGAGAAGAAAATGAATAAAGGAGAAGAAAATGAATAAAGGAGAAGAAAATGAATAAAGGAGAAGAAAATGAATAAAGGAGAAGAAAAGGAGAAGAGAAGAAAAGGAGAAGAAAATGAATAAAGGAGAAGAAAATAAATAAAGGAGAAGAAAATAAATAAAGGAGAAGAAAATAAATAAAGGAGAAGAAAAGGAGAAGAAAATAAATAAAGGAGAAGAAAAGGAGAAGAAAATAAATAAAGGAGAAGAAAAGGAGGAAAAAAGAGAATAAAAGTAGGAAAGAACAAGTATTCTTTGCAACTTTTTAATAACACTGGCACAGAAAAAAATTGTGGCAAGCATAAAAATAGGTGTTCTAACCTAATTTTGGGGTGCTGATTTCAGATACGATATCCATTTTCACTCATCACACATAATTTCTAAGAGACATGTATGTACATGTATTCATATAGGCGTAAACCCAAAAGATTTAAATGTTTCAGTAACAAACTACATAAGACTGGGTATTGAGTTCAATCCTCACTGGGTGCCCCCACTTTTGGCTTTGTGCCACACCTATGCTGCACTTGGAAAACCACTATTGATGCTGAATTCAAATTAATCTTTTGACAGGTTGATCACATGCCAAAAGGTCCTTTTTTTTTTTAAATAAAAATATCCTATTTTTATCAGTCCTATAATAACCTATACTTGTATACAACCATTTTATATGTTTATATTATGATTCTGTGACAATTCATTTAACTATATATATATATATATATATATATAATCAATGTTAATTTTATTTTTAAGATTTTTGTGAACAGTTACATATCTCTACAACAGGGTCAGGCATTTCAATACATGGCGGATGTATCAACAAGGCCGACTCGTTCTGTTACATATGTGGGGATTTCACAACAGTTGCACAGCATCAAACAATTATTCCCCTCCTGAGAAATGCTTACTGCCACTTTTCTGATTGTAAAATTGGAGACCAGAACAAACTCTAGGCCCCACAAATTTGTTGTAATCTCTGTTATAATGAACTAACTGCATAATTTAATGGCAAGAAATTAGCCTTCAGTTTTGCTGTACCAATGATTTAGCAGGAACCGCAAAGCCATGCAAATGATTGTTATCTTTATCTAACAAATATAACTGGTGTCAATGTCTCTTACAGAAAAAAAAAAAAAAAAAAAAAATCAAATATCCAACCTACCCTTATCTAGGAGACCTGTTCCCCACTCAGATGTTTTCACTGTCTCTAGTCCCCCAAGCAAATAAGGATCTTTCTAAGATGGGAGAAAAGACCTCAAAGAAGGATCAAATGGCAGTGAGCCCCACTGGATCACCCAAGAAGACCTGAATGACCTTGACCATGATTTGTACCTATCTAAGCATCAATCAAAGCTCTTGACATCCCAGCTGAAGCAGTGGAACCTGGTCAAAGCAGATATAAGGATCAGCAGTTTCAGGACATGGAACAATGAGTCTGCCTCATTCTTCAACAAGAAAAACAGGTTTGGCTACTGTAAAAAATGTCTCTGATTTGCTCACCTCCCTTAGATTCCCACAGATTGATGATTTTTCATAGAATCTTCCAAGCAAAGTCTGAAGGCTGTGTTCCTGCCCAATGTGAATATGGAACACCTTTTATAAGCTGTTAAGTACAAGCAGTACAACATCATTAGCCTCCTTATGAGCATAAAGGCAGGCTTCATGAAGTACTGTTGCTTTCTGCATATGGGACAGTTGGACTGTGTCCAAGCACTACAATCAGAAGAACTGGGGACCTAAAAGCACTTTCATACCTGAGGAACACAATGTCCAAGAAAAAATCTTTGGTGTACATAAACAAGGTGCTTCTTTCTCTCCTCTTCATATGAAGCATGGTCTAATGAAGAATTTAATTAAGGCTATAAACACCTGTGCACTCTGCTAGGCTCCAGGAGAGCATCTTTGTCCAAGAGCATCTTCAGATCCAAGAGGTGCTGAAGGAGAAACAATTTGAGAAGATTCTTACCCTCAAAGAACTGAGAGCATGGAAAGTATTTAAATCAGTCTGCCATGGCTTCCTTGGTAACATACAGCCATTAGATTACCAAAAGTATGTCGAGAAGTTTTTATAGGCTTAAGGAAATGGGGTGTGGCATATCACTTTAGATTCACTTTCTCCACTCCCTCCTGAACTTCTCCTCTCCAAACCACAGAGCAGTGGGTGATAAGCATGGAAAAAGGCTCCACCAAGATGGAGAACAATTATCAAGGCAGATGGAACAGCAACAGCAGCAAAATGGGGGACTTCTGCTGGATGCTCCTGTTCCTGCAGGATATCCCGCAGATAAATTACATGAGACTGCCCCTTACAAAAAAAAAAAAAAATCACTTCTGATTGTCTGTTGTACTATGTTTTTTTTCCTGTAATACGCCTTTTTGAATATTGCATATATGCATCATCATAAAAACAGGATACAAGAAAGCAAAAAGAAATCTATATGTGATAGAGCAAAAGTTTGGAAATTAGAATTTACCACATTAAAATTAATAAAAAAACATGTATTCACGTGCTTGCTTCAGAGCAATTTTTTTTTTTTTTTTGGTAAACTACTGTAATTATTCTTTAAGGCAGCAAAAATTGGAATAAAACAGGAAGCCCGTTATCATAATAAAAAAGTCGCAAAAGAAATTGTCTGAAGGAAAGAAAATTAGAATTCTAGCCCCAACATAAAATGGGGAGTTAAATTCAATCAAACCATACTTCATCACAAATGCCAATTAACTAATCCTATTAATATGAAATTTTAAATAGTTTTTCTTTATTATTATTTGAATAAGAGATTAGGAGAAAAGAAGGTTACTTAAACAATTATGAAGAAAAAAATTGATTCTGCTGGCAGCTAAAAGTGAAATAAAAAAAATGCTTCAAAGAGGTTTTTTTTTTAAAATCTATTTAAAGAAAATTGTACAAGGAGAACTGACAGAAAACTCCCAGCTGAGACAACATGAACAACTCAAAAGAAATATTATACAATAAGGAGAATCAAAATAAAGATAAAATAATGTGACATGTTAAGATTAAGAATAGTCTTATGGAGAGGAAATTTGAAGCAATTGTTCCTAAATATTCTCTGAAAACCATGCTTTCCACTCCATCAACTGAATGCTCAAAATAATTTAGAAAGATCCCATACATTAACAACTGTACATTTAGACATTCAATTTTTTTTATTTGTTTAGCATCAATTAAAAAAATGATAAAAATTAGGAGTAGATAGGTTTGCCTATTGTCTGGTTCACAATCCTCCAGAGTTTTTTGGTCAGGAATCAAGGTTTATCCCTTGTTTAATATTGGGTTTCCAGTACTTTCTAAAATCTACTTCAACTCTATACTAACACTTGTCCTTTCTTACACAAATACAACTCCACACTGTAATCATCTACCTTGAGTGTCTCTTGAACCTTGTATTGGGAGAACCTTAGTATAAAAAAATAAAAAAAACTTGATTCAATTTACTTTTTAATATTTGTCTTTTTGCATTTAAATCAGATGCTGTCTTTATTTATTTTCAACACTATTTAGAAAATTTACTATGAATGTCAAAGTTTTCCAATAAAAAGTAATATATTAATATTACTTTGTTTAGACAAAAGTTTGGTGACTTAAGTTTACTTTGACATACCAAATAATAAAGTGTTGGAAATTTAATGGAAAGCTTCTTAATTATATAAACAAAGCATCTAATGATTAAAACAAAGCTCTCTTATAAGCAATGTCAATTGCTTACTAATCTCCTCCTCTCTACATAAATACACTGGTTACTTATCACATTGCTAAATCCTAATTAAATCCAAGGCTTCCAACTGACTAGAGAAATGAGAGCAAATGCTCCAAAGCCCTTAAGAAAAACAGGAGGAGGAGGTGATATAAAAAATCTGAGACTTAATCTATCAAATAAAAGAAATACTATGCTGAGGGAATAGGGGAAAAAAAGAAGAATACAAATGAGAGAATCACATGGCAAGAGTACTTCAAAATTAACAAGTGGAAAAAAAATGGTAAGATTTTGAAGTGGGGTGCAGGTGAGAAGTAAGGAAAAAAGCTGCTGCATGAATACACAAGATGCAGATGAGAGGGGTAATCAAAGATAGGTATTCAGTTAAACTGCTAAAGTTAAAAAGTAGTGAGAGGAGATGGGGGCAGTTGTTAGGAAAGATGGAGGAATGACAAAAGAAATTGTACATTCCTCAGCCTCATCACCTTATTAGCTTTGGTTCAAGAGTTAGAGTCCTCCTTTCACTGGCAACCATGGTAACCAACAAGAAGTTGTACACAAGTAAAAGAAAAAGCAAATAAAAACTATTAAATAAAAACCTCCTTACATCCAAGTTGTAACTTAATTATTAATTTCTTTTTCTTGAACATGGAGTAATAGGCAGAGAAAGTAGATGGAATTTCTTTAAACAAGTTTAATTAAATGTAAAATTTGTCCCACATTAGTCTTATTAGCATAAAAGGTATAAAATGAATGTTAACTTTTGGCACAACCTCAAAGAGTGAATAAACATGAAAGGAGTGAGAGAGAGAGAGAGATAAATAGATTGGGTATCTTTATTTTAGGGATGTATAGGAACATTGTTTTTTAGATACTAAAATTCATCCAGAACTAGGCTCAAGAGAGACTCAAAGCAGAGAATTACTGTTAAAATGGTTATGATGAATGAGGTATGATATGAATGAAAGATGAGACAGGAGGAAGTGAAGATAAGAAGAAGGATAGAGAATAATTAACCATTATATATATATATATATATATATATATATATATATATATATATATATATAAAGTGGACTCTCCTGTTGATTTTGACCAGTAGTTCAGTTGAGAACTTAGCCACAAGAACCAGTGTTTTAATGACACACACATATGTGTGTGTGTGTGTGTGTGTGTGTGTGTATATATATATATATATATATATATTTTTTTTTTTCTACATGAAAAATGTGAAAGGATGTGCATTACACTGCCCTTGTCAGCCGCCAACCAGGGAAGTAACACAGTTTTGGTAGCTTATGTAGTACTGCCACTCCTGTCATCACCAGAAGCTTTTTCCCACCAGAAGGGTACTGTTTTTGTGTAGATGTGTCAGTCTCTTGCAATTTGTTTTCTTTTTTTTTTTTTGACTACATGTCAGATTTTCAACATTGTATTAAAAGTGTTTGCTTTTGATCATTAGCCAATACACAACGCGCTTGTCGTGACCATTATCAATGATATACAATGGAAGGTAAACAGATGTGATTCATTTTGGTAGTAGCATTGTGTTGCAAGCATTGTTTTAATTAACATTGTTTATTT